TGAACGGGATATGGTTATGCGTAATACAGTATGTAAATATCTTGAGCCTATGCCATATCAAGACCATGATGCGTGATATATTATCACATCCTTCTCGAGGTGAACCTGTTTTTCATGTTGGCTATCATGTCGGCATAACAGAACATCATGGATCTAGAGAGGAAAACTCGATAAAACCCGTAATCTCCGGTGTTATTCGACCCGTGCCGATGAGATGAATAGCACTACGTCAGTGTGTTTTTAAACGGAGACCTCCGGATAACTGGCGCCCTCCGGTTGTAATTTAGCCTTATCCGGGTATTGCGGATCTCTGCCCGGATGGACCTTCCTTTCTCCGCAACTCGTGGGTTTTAATATGAATGAACCAATAAATAATAAAAATAAAAATTCTATAGCGGAGAGCTCGGCTAAACAGAGCTCCAAATCTTCGGACACTAAATGTCCAAATAAGGTACCTACCGCGACTTCCAGTGGTAATAAAAAGGTGCCTTCAAATAATAATAAACAAAACGTATCGATACGCTCCGGACCACTAATTCGGTCAGGCCCTCCAGGGAGGAGGAGTTACAAGGAACGCCGAGCGGCGACTAGACTGCTCGAAAGATACGGCAATATTTCGGTTACATCCGAATCTATGAAGGCCAGGATTGCCTGGGCTCAGCAGGTCCTCGATACCTCGAAGGACAAGCAGGAACCTGCTACGAAGCGACAGCGCTCATTAGATGAGTCAGCTTCAAAACCTGATGCCAAAAAGGCAAAATTTCGTGGCAACGCCACAAATACAAAATCCTTTAGCGACATGCTGAAGGGTTCTTTAATAATGGGAGTCATTGATGAAAATGACCCGGATGGCACAATTACACCTGCTAAGTGGGACTTAATTGAGCTCAAGCTCCTTGACATTTATGTCGATCTCCTGAAGGACTTTCCTGGAGACGGTCCCACTTGTCGCGATAGTGGATGGCATCAGGGCCATGTGAAACTTATCGCCTGCGCGGATCAGCGTTCTGTTGATCTTTTTCGCAAAGCCATTTTCAGAATTGGTGAGGCATGGCCAGGCGCCAAACTTAAGGTTGTTACTAAGGAGCAAATCCCTAGTCGACCAAGAGCGCGTTCCTGGATACCAGCCCATCAGTCCGATCCTCAGCGGATTCTGGAACTTATTCGGCTAGGAAACCGGCAGTTAAACACATCAACGTGGAAGATTACCAAGCTGGAGGAAGTCAAGGGTAAACATAGGTCGGTCAGTTTTGTGATTGACAAAGCATCCTTGGCCACTTTGGCGAAATCAAACGGTGTTATTAACTACGGTTTCTCAGCCATCACAATGAGGGTATATAAAAAGGACGAGGAGCAATCCTTACCTAACGACACAGGTCCAGCAGCACCGCAAGGCACTGTTGATACCATAATGGAAGCGGGTGATATTGTAACTGCTACCGCAAACTCAGTGGGCCCAGTAGAAATACTGCCTACCACTTCTGATTCAATAAATATGGACGTGACTATGTCCTCTCCAGCTCCTTCAATTACATCTGAAGAGAGTATTGGTACGCGCTATCTTTTTAACGAAGAAGAACTTTTGAACTCTGAAAATGAATCTGAAGAAGATAGCGCGCTTGACGTTACAGTGGTGGACACTACCACATCCAAAACAAATCATGATGCGGGTACTACAAATTAACCTGCACCACTGCAAGGCTGCGTCCGCCAGCTTGTTGCAATGCCTCAGCAACAACGAGGCTGATATGGTCCTGGTGCAAGAGCCATGGGTTTTCAAGGATCTTGTCTGCGGACTCAGGACTAAAAACTTTGACTTAATGTATGCGGTAAACAAGGGTAAGCCTAGATCTTGCATATTAATAAATAAAATATATAACGCTCTCATGCTTTCGCAGTATAGTGACAAAGACCTAACCGCAGTAAGTATTGAGGGACCTTGGGGCCAGATATGGGCGGTATCTGCATATATGGCTCATGATCACGAAGAGTTACCATCAAGTAGCCTAAAACAGCTGACAATTGACGCTAGGAGACTTGGTGCAGATATCATTTTGGGTTGCGACGCAAATGCGCACCATGAAATATGGGGCAGCTCAAACACGAATGAACGTGGTGAGTTACTTTTCGATTTTATTTTTAGTAATAATCTTTTTATATGTAATGACGGTAATAGGCCGACTTTTGTTACCAAAAATAGGCAGGAGGTTTTAGACATTACCGTGACTACTGCCAAAATTCATGGGTCTATAAGAAAATGGAAAGTGTCCACTAGACACTCTTTTTCAGACCATATGATTTTAGAATTTTCTATAAACTTAAAGAAATCAAGTACCCCCAGTTTAGAAACTTTCAGAAATGTCAAGAATACAAACTGGACAAAGTACAAATCATCTATAAATGAGCTGCTGACAAACTCTACTCTTTATCCGCCAGAGAATATAAATGATCTGGACGAGCAGGTAGGAGATCTTACCTCAATACTTAATGAAGCTTTTAACCTTGCCTGTCCTTCAACTCGACCTAGTAGGAAGAGTAACCCACCCTGGTGGAATAGAAACTTAGGTCAATTGAGGAAAGAATGCAGGAGACTTTTTAATAGGGCAAAGCTAAATAGAAATGAGAGTGACTGGTCTGAATATAAGATCTCTCTGCAGAATTATAAGAAAGAACTACGTAAGTCTAAGAGGATTAGTTGGCAATCATATTGTCAAGAGATTAGTAGGGACTCTGAAACCTCTAGACTACGCAAAATCCTATCTAAAAATCCTTCTGTTCCTGAGTTGCTAAGAAAACCGGATGGGACTTGGTCAAATAACAGTAGGGAGTCACTAGATTTATTACTAGATACCCACTTTCCAGGATCCTTTGCTTCGACGGAATCCTCAGAATGTTTAAACTACGCACCGGTAAACTCTATCAAGTTAAACCTACAAACTCTAAAATGGGCCATTTTTAGCTTTAAGCCATATAAATCACCAGGACCGGATGGTATTCATCCTATTGAGCTGCAAAACTCTTGGGATCAAATACAAAACTGGCTTCTGGCCATTTTTAAATATTGTCTCATTTTTAATTATGTTCCAACTCAATGGAGAAAGGTTAGAGTTGTTTTTATTCCTAAGGCGGGTAAAACCTCTCATAGTAACCCTAATGAACTCCGTCCAATTAGTCTTTCATCTTTCATACTGAAAGCTTTAGAAAGAATTATAGACTTTGAAATAAGGCGCGTTATAGATCCCAATCTTTGGTCACCGTCACAACACGCCTACACTAAGGGTAAATCCACAGAGACAGCACTCCATGCCCTCACCTGTACTATTGAAAAAACTCTTAAAGTAAAAGAATTTTGTATAGTGGCTTTCGTAGATATTGAAGGAGCTTTTAACAATATTCTTCCCAATGCAATAGCTAACGCACTCTCGCGTCTGGGTGTTGAGGATGCGCTCATCAGCTTTATCGGTCAGCTACTAACTGGCAGAATTATTGAAGCACAAATGGGTGTATCAGCAACACACAGACGGGTAAATAGAGGTACCCCCCAAGGGGGCGTACTCTCTCCTCTCCTCTGGAATATAGCGGTGAATGAACTGTTACAAAAACTGGGGAGAGCGGGATGCGGGACAGTTGCATATGCGGATGACATTGCACTAACAGTTACTGGAAAATATGCTACTAGTTTAAGGGATATTTTGCAGTATGGCCTGAATATCCTTAACAATTGGACACTGACATGTGGTCTCGGGGTTAACCCCAGAAAAACAGAAATCGTAGTATTTACCAGAAAACATAGGGTTCCAAATCTTTCTCCAATCTATATTAAAGGTTCTGCGATACAATATATTGAGAAAGCAAAATTTTTAGGCATTGTTTTCGATAGGAAACTGAGCTGGAAAGAA